ACTGTCTAGCCTTGCTACAAACAAGCGGCGATATCTTCAGCGGCAGCTGGCGACACGAGCAACGACTATAAGAGGGATTTACCCGCACCGGATGTACGTGTTGAGTGAGTGCAACCAGCTCATCGCGACGTTTAAGTTTTACTGCCCGTACCCATGGACGGGTTTAGGGTCAATCTCCCCTGCGCATCCCTGCCCATTGGATTAGGCTGGAAGCTGGCACTCTTATGATAAAAACCACCGTGCTATATACTTGAAAACCTTTCTGCTCTATTGCTATGATGAAATTGATCTGTTTCAGCTCCATTGTCAATGTGTGATCCAATTACATTGCCTTACATTTCACGATCTGTTGTTTCTGTCGGACTCATCCATCCTGCTTTTCTTTTTCTGATCACTCCACTTAGAAGCAATTGCCTGTTGAAATTGTTACTAGATACCTCTTGCAAGGCACCGTCATTTTGGGTGTAAATGCACGTTTGTACTATGTACATACAGAACAGCACGTAAAGCGAGAACAAGGTCTTCAAATTCATTCCCTCATGTCGATATTGTGACCGATTCGATTTTTCTTTGGGTTATTCAGATATATTTGCTGGAGAAGATTGCAACATTAGACGGGTGGAAACTTTTCCTGTTTCTTTATCGGACATGAAGCATTTGGTAATCTTGCCATCAGTTTCCAATTTTCTCCAGAATTAAAAAAAATGATTTGTGTCCACTCTGGGGGAAATTGAAATACATGAAATCCATATATGTTTTTGATACATGTTTTCCCTAAAATACTCTTACATGTTGTAGTCAGAAAAAAAACTGTTGTGAATCTCAAACGCCTGCAATATGTGAACACAAATGTCGTAGATTTGGCGCCAATGGGCATCCGGTGATGGACATTGTTAAAATGTCTGCGCCGGAGCGTGTTAGAAAACATGTGAAAAATGTCACATACGCCCCCAAGCGCGGACCAACTGCTGAGTGATCCATAATGCATTATGCAGGCAACTACAGATGTGATGAACTTGAGACAAAAAAAAATCATGTCACACAGTAAAATGAGCGTTCTGCAGACTTCGACATGCATTGCAGGCGAGCTGGTATTCCAGTCACATCCTCGCACGAGGTTTGTGTTTGGGTTTCATTCGCGACAAAAAAAAATGGACAGCATCTGTAGCCGCTCTCACGAGTGCGCAGCAACATAGAAGAGGAAAACTAAACGGGAATTGATGATTGAAACGATGTGCTTGTCTGCTGAACGAAGTGTGACGCACGCACTAAATATAGCGGGCAGAGTTTGAGTTGAGTTCGTGCACAAAAAGGGTGGGCTTTGTCCTAAGCTATATTGGCCCCTACACGACTTTCAAAGATATGAACGACTGTTAGTGCTGGATAATACATGCATAAGAAAATGTTGTCGCAGCAAAGAAGTGTATGGACGTGCATACAACGTTTGTACGTCCCCTTTGATGCCACACCCGCCATATTGTTGGAATGGTGCTACCGCCGTCAACAGGTTTAACGGCAGTGATCTTTGTGCGGAAATTAAGTACAATTTCATATTGAGCTCCTCTTTAAAGGTCATTTTGTGCATTTGTTTTCCTATATGTAAACAGGTGAATTCTCTCAATCAATTCCAGCTGGTACTTTGTTTTAAGTGACACACTATCCCGTCCTAAAAATATCAATGAACAGACTTTTATGTAATTGAGGACGTTGGTATCTCTGTCGAATGGTACTCCCTTCATATTGACATACCTTGTTCACAACAATGAGTGAACTTGTTTTTAATTTTCCTTTGGTATGGCTGATAGATCCAAGTGATATATTATATACGACCAGGTACGCGCATCATTCCGGATGAGGTGGTTCTTGTCACGCGGGAACACCTTTACCGTTTCCCGGCATTTTGTGGAAGGACCACCTAAAGCAAAATCCTTCAGTTATCCAGCGATCGATGGCCAACACAAAGTACACGCCAACGATAAAAACAAGTCAGTGCTTCAGGGGCCCAGATTGAGATGATGGAGAGAACCCGGAAAATCGTTCAAGAATGTCACAAATTTGGAGCTGAAACGAGCGGGCTTGTTGGGCGGATCGAAGGCGATCGATGGTATGACAATACGGCCCATGCCCGTAGCGTGTCACACACCCGGTGCGGCCACCACGCGGATCGGGAGACTGATCGGTTGCCAGGCCCTCGTCATGCGTACAGGGAACCCAAGCGACCGAGAAAGAAAAAAACCCGGCAGTACCGGCCGTTGTGTTCCCACCCTTGTGTTTTCACTCACACTCCCTCTCCAGTGTCCCCGTGGAGTGGAGTTCTGCGGCTCGATAGACCGTAGATCTCGTTGATGTTAATACCTGGGGGATCCAACTACTTATCAAGGGGCCCACGATGCCTGGAACACTAACGGTCCAGAGATGTGTAGGTGCTCCAATAAACAGACACAACCATGACGAATTTGATACAGGAGTTATTTAGGACAGAAACAACTATGTCAACCGAACCATCTCAGTTCTTGCAACCTGTAGTTATAGGTAGTTTCTATACACTCAGTGCCCAAATGAGTGGCAATTCGTTTATTTGTTTGCCTATCGCTTCCCAGAATAGCACCACTGGAGGCTTTTCGTCATCCTCGTATGGCATGCATTTCTCAGCCATAGCTTTTCCGTTAGAACTGTAGGATGTCATCTTTGACATTATTGGAATGATAGGGAAACATTCGTTTGTTTGCTTCGCACGCGCTTTGAGGTATCTAAACGGTAAAGTGTGACTAGGATGTTTGGCGGTGCGTCCGAGAGCGAGCAGCCACCAATCAATATAATGTACAGTTGGATGTGACAGCGCAGCTGTGCCTGTGTATTGGAAAGTGCTACGTGTGAATAGTAATCCAGGGCCATGCAACGTTACCATCTCCATGCAACACAGCTATCGTCGCCTGTCATTTTGGTTGCCGACGCCATATTGGCCATCATCGCCACCCCTACCACCACCACCACCGCCGTCACTATCACCACTATCACACTCTAAAAACTCCCTGGTTAAATTTACCCTTTTCCGAGTCTAAAAGTGATTCTTTTCTGGATAATTTGACCCTTTGCAGGATCATTTGACCCTTTATGGGTCGTTTTGACCTGTTAATAAACTCGGGTCATTTTTCGATGTTGTAAAATGGTCAAAATAACCGAAGAGCGTCATGATTTGACCCAGAACAGGGTCAGGCCCTACGTAGACCCGAAACTTGCTGTCCAGGGTCCATCTAATCCGAGAGTTTAGAGTGCGCCAGTTATTCCCACCACTGACACTGTTATTATCTTCATCAACAACTTCATTAGCAACACAGTCACCGCCATGCACAGGCGTTCACATAGGAAGAAATTCACATGACCCATATTTGATCAAACTCTATACACACAACTTCACAGCTATGTGGCCCTTTTCAGCCACAGAAAATATTGAAGAGAAATGCAAACACGCACCTTTTCCTGAGAAGTTTCTGTATTGAGATTTGGTTTTAAAAAAATAGGGTGATGTCAGATATGAAGTATCATTTATTACCCCTGTGATCAGTTGACAGTTGACGCCTTGAATGAATTCAAATATTTGCGTCTCCACATGTAATAATTTGTTACTCTCTCTCTCTCTCCTAAACAATACCCGGGACTTGTTTCTTGGTTCATCAAATATAGTTACAATCATACATCGCAACTTAGAGCCCTTTCCAGCCTGAGGCAGAAGACACCAAAACTTCGGGGGAAATGTTTCATTCTTTGATAGCTGCTGCCGGACAAAAAGTTGGCGATAGCCGTTACAAAGATCACCTGTAAGTTGCACACTCGTCAAAGCTTTTGATTCGGAGATTTTCGAATGCGTTGTGGCGCTTGTCATCTTTGTATTAATCCGATTTACGCCGCGCAGGCTGGTGTAAGCAGGTATAATCAAGATCCGTCATTTAGTAGTGAGGATGCTTAATTCGTTACCAGAACAACCTTGGGTAACAGGCGGGTCATTTGGGACTGGTGTATACCGAACTAGGTTTTTAATCTCTTCATCGAGAAGAAGAAGAAAAAACTTGGGATAAAAAAGAAAACTCCGGGGACAATCACTGTGTATCGAAATCTAAATCTGGCATTGGTAGGGTTTTTATCTCGAGGCGGCGATCGCTCATTATCTCCGGGACACGACCTGGAAGAATGGACGAGTTTTGTCCCAGAGAGAAAGGGAATTAAGCGTGAAATGTTGGGCCAACACGATGAGATGTGGGTGCTAGGTTGGGTGGAATGACTTGTTCACAATGCCCGCACCAGAATAGCGCTCACAATGATCGCGGGGGATTATCCCCTCCATCCTTAAAATCGAGATCAGATTATTACTTTTGTCGGCGATTCTAAGAGGAAAACGAAAAAAACTGAAGTGGATCTTCGCACAGTGCGACTGTCTTTTGTGCAGACAGTTTCTGTCTTGTCGACAGAGTCAATATTTTGTCCGAGAAGTTGCTCAGTGGTTGTCAAGACCGATGTAGTTTCGGTAACAAGTGTCACAAAGAGGGGTACAGAAGTATCTCTTCATTCTCTGCGCTTTTTCTGCTAGCGCTTGAGGAAGAGTGTATGAGGAGGGGTCCTTGTACACGAAAGCACCCCCATCATTCACTGAGCAGATGCTCACGACACTTTCAGGAATGGTCAGTTTCCCCAGGCTAGTTGTAGGGAATGAGCTGGCCGGAGGACCACCTATACCCAAGTTCTGTTTTTGACACTTGTGGTTCATTCATACGTTGGGGAGGTGTATTGATACTGGGCGAATACTCATCCACTAGTTGTGAGAGGTTCTGCGGGGCTTATGACCGTCCTCGGAAGACGGTGTGTCAACTCGTACGCCCGTGAAAACGTCGATACATTAAGATTATTCATCAGCGAGGCTGTGATTCGCTTCTGTATCTGTACCGCTTGTCCTGACTGTGACTTAACTCATATTTTTTTCTGTTTTCTGTATGTTTTCTGTGCAGGTAAAGACGGGTTCAGTTGTCCAAAGTGCCCGAAGATCTACCGGTATCCGAACACCCTGAAGTCTCATCTTCACTTCCGGTGTACCGGAGCGTCGGCAGTTTGTGAGAGTAGCGCCCCCTCGTGCCGGTCAAGCTCCAGCAAGGAGGAGCGTAGCCTCTGCGCCGGGAGTGCCTTCCACCGGATCGTGTCGACCTCGTCTTCGTCGGGAGCTGGGGAGTCTGTTCCCTCATCGCCGCGGGTCACCAGCGCAAACGGCCACCACCAGCACCACACTTCCCATCATTCTAATTCACACGGGGTACCAGCTGAGGCCAGCCGGACGGCCATGATGGATATCTACAGCTTGGCCCGTAGTGCCCTCAGCGTCGGGGCCGGGCGCAAGATGCACCAGCCGGCCGGCCTGATAGGTGATGGTGCAGGGTCGGCTTTCAGGCCGCACAATCCAAGGCTTCAACCGACAGATGCAGGGGTCCCGCATCAGAAAGAGAAGGAGGGGTTCCGTGTGGTCCGCAGCAGCAAAGACTCCCACGGCCTGTCGCTGCTTCCTACTTCTTCATCTTCCTCCACTTCCCCGTCTTCTTCCTCCACATCCAGGCACGGACAAGGTGAACGCAAAGCGTCCTTCACCGTGGAAAAAATGTTCGGTCTGCCGCGACCGGCAAGCCCGCAACTCGCCCACCACAATTCCGCCATTGAGGACTCACTGCTGCAGCAGCGGCAGAAGGCGTTGGAGAGAAACTGTTTACCCGCAGGCTACCAACCTTGCCCGGTTTCCGCACACCACCATCATCACCACGGCGACACACCAGTGGCGATCGGTCCCCTACACCGTTCGCTGGACCCCTACGCTGGTTTTCCGTACCCGTTCTACCACCATCATCACCACAGCCAACCGGGACTGCATCCTGGCCTATCCCGCTATGGAACTGTCCTACCAGTCCACACTAACGGTGAACTGTACGGTTCGAGTGGCCCATGCTTCTCCTACAAACTTCCTTTCCCTGCCGGTTTGTTGCGCTACCCTGACCCAACGGCCCCACTTGTTGCGTCCGCTGCCAGTGACGTCATGGAATTGAACAAGTATGCTAATCTTGAGCGCAGCCTGACCAATCAGGGGGTGACTGGCTTTCACGACCCCCAACTATTCGCCAATCACCACCCAGCCCCAAACGGCAAGGCCAAGCGGGGCCACTTGTGTATATACTGTGGCAAGCTGTACTCGCGTAAGTACGGACTCAAGATTCACCTGAGGACGCACACGGGCTACAAACCCCTGAAGTGCAAGGTTTGCCTGCGACCGTTCGGCGACCCCAGCAACCTCAATAAGCACATCCGACTTCACGCAGAAGGGGAGACACCATACCGCTGTCAGTACTGCGGAAAGGTGCTCGTCCGACGCCGGGACCTGGACCGGCATATACGGTCACGGCACCCCAACGAGCACGAGAAATCGGATCAAGAGGCGGCGAGCTCTGGCCTGGTCAGAACGTCCCCTCCACCCACCAAGGCGGCAATAGAAGGGGCTATCAAAACCCCGGAATACGGTGTGGAGAACCCAATGTCATCGCCGGACCCAGTGGACAATGATGACGAAGATGACGAAGAAGTTGAAGACGGTGACGACGAACAGGAAATGGACGACGACATGCAGCCCGAAATCGATGTGTGATGACAATTTTGCAGTACTTCTGAAGCACCCAAAATGACAGCCTTATGATGATATTTTTCCAGCCAAAGGCACATTACTATAAATTGTATCCCTCTCTTAGTTCCTTTGAGGTAGAATTATCATCTCTTGGTCGAAATTCAAAGCAAATTACACCCTTAAATGTTCCTGCAAAATTTTGAGTTGTTACCCAATCATGCAGTATCTTTCATTTGAGATTCTCAGTAAGGTTACTTTAAAGCTAAAGAAGATGTTTTGTTCCTGAGCAAGCTCTTTGCAGTGACTCAGTGTGAACTGTATCTTACAAGTTTGTCTTTTCTACGATCTTCTTTCAGTAACATGGGTCTCAGAGAAAAGTACTTATTGATTGGAGGCACAATATAACTCAGGGATACCCACCATCCAAGAGGAATTGAATTCAGCGCCATTCTTCTAAAGTGGTATTGACTAAACATGTTCCACTGGTTCAAACCAGTCTCGCGTTTTATGGCTTGTGTTTACTACAGTACTGTGGTCGGGGAAAGTCTATATTGGCCACCAGTATGTAGGTCTTTGGGAACTTTGGGGAAAGAAAAATTAAAAAATGAAGTTCACCTTGTGAGTAAAAACAAAGTGGCATTAATTGTGAGTTAGCCCTTCACAACCGTTGAAAACAGCTTTTCTGACCAACGAGGAGGGAGCTAGGCAACTTTATCAAATAGTGTTGACATGCATAGCTTTCACAAAGCGCATTATCTTTGACAGTCGCAAGAGCTTTGTTCCCTGAGCAAGTGCAGAAAACGTCGCTCGGTAATCATGAAACATCTGATGCATCTTAATTTAGATAGCGCAATTCAGAGTCCTACCAATAAAAGAAAAACTGAGCAAGAATCATTCTAATCAGAACAGATAGAATTCATATTCAATGTGCAATAGTACTACATGTATTTATTTTAAAAAATAGTTCTCCAGAATTGAATTGCCGCGAAATTGATGCTTGGTTTGTTATTTTCCAGTGTGAATAAAATTCTCTACTTACAATTCTGATATTTATTTGGTTCGCTATTATGTAATTTAATATGAATGTAATTTTGCTTTAATTAGATTTAGCCTTTCGTAATAAAGCTAAGCTACAGGTTGCTTAACTGAAAGAATGAAATTGATCTTCAATTAATATACACTGAGCGAATAGTCGTAGTAAATAGGTATCTTTGGAATACAGAGCGCTGTTACTATTTATTAAAAATCGCTTGAAATCACGGGTGATCATACGTAATCAATTTTGTACAATTTGGTATCATTTTTTAAAGAAATCAGTGTTGGCGCCCTATTGTGTTTGGCAGTGCCATTTCTTTCGCCCGTATAAAGGAGATTGCTGCCGGCTACACTGCTTATGCACCTAAATAATGGTGTTGTAAATGATCTTTTGAAAAAAAAATATATTCGTAAGAAGGCTCAACAAATAAAATGCATTCCATTTGAAAGAGAAAGAAGGCACCGTGGGATTAACATTTGCTCTTTGTCCATCTTTCTTGTGTTAATTAAGGTCTGTTTATTAGATAGACAGACCAGTCACACAGCAAGCAGTTATGCAGGGTGCAATATTTTTGCTTACACAACATATTGGGCATACTACGTTCTTTCCTATGGGAATATGGCTACTGCGAGACCGATAGGAGACTAGTCCACACGCCTCGTGGAAGAAGTTAACCCCCCCCCCGGTTGGAATTTCGATCTACCCTTTGAAATAAAAAGATTATAGCCTCCAGTTAAGTGTGCTTATCCCAGCTAGTTGTGTATAACAATTTTGCGTTCAGGGAAATGGCGTATCCAGAGGACGGCAGGGGGAACCTGCCCCCCTGACGGACTTTTTAAACTTTGATTTTTATTTAAATAAATGATTTATTGCTAATATTTTTATTTTAATATTTATCCAATAATTTATGAGCACCAAAACAAGAAGAAAACAACACCACGAAATAAAAGCTAGGACGTTGGGGCCACAAGGCTTTTGGTATTTTTCTCCCGCATCATTTCAAATAAGCCCGAAGCCGCACTCGCTTTTGAATTTGTCCCCAACATCAGAGGCTGCATACGCTGCCGGGTTCAGGGTAATGTTAGGCCGTGTCCAAATCACTTGGCTACGGCCAGAAATTACACAACCCTATAGGAACTGGCCGCGCAACTACCATAGACTTGTGTGTAATTTCAAGCCGCAGACGAGTGATTCGGATAGGGCCATACATGACGCTCACCCAGTGCACCACGTGAGGGTGCTAGGCAGGTATTCCATTATGCCTATATTTTAGCAAAGCAACACTTTGCATGAATATGGCAGCTCGTCCGCCACACACCTCGAATGGTTAGCTCTTGGGGTATTGTTGATACGCTCACGTTGTAAAGGGTTACATAGAAACGGGTAGTACCATTCCCTTGACAAAGGTGATTTCTACTTACTGACAAAGATGCACCACGAAAGTAGTTTCTGAATACAACTTCAATAGTTTATTCTCAACATGTATGTATATTCACCAACCTCTAAACAAAAATAATTATAATACACAATATATGTATTGGGAAGAAGGAAAACGCACACTTCCCTGGACTATTTACAACCATTCACGAACATTTCAACTCGCACAGCCTACACATAAACAGGTGTACATATGTAAATATGGTGATGTTGACAAACCACAAAGATAAGAATACCATCAGCGCTCAACATTCCAATGACAGTTAGGTATGTAACACTTGCATATCTGATGTGTATTTTATTGTTCCAATTGCAGCTGTTAACATGGGTCCAGAATAAGAACAGTGTCAGCCATGCCCCATCTGACACTTGGAAGCCGAAATGGTTCTGATCAATTTTGATTAATGGACGGAAAATGTGTGGAATAGTTTATAATTTACAGAAGTAACTGCATAACTTATTTTTTTTCTTTAATTTAGTATAAGAAACAATCGAGGCTGGTAAGCATTTGTATTTTGGAATTTGATGTCTTAACATTTGGGAAGAAGCCGGCAAATTCTTTGGCAAAATGAATTGATGTTAGGAAGAATAGTTTTTGTATATTCTGAGAGAGGATTTACATATCGAATCAAAGACAAATGTTGAGGCTTTGTGCATAATGCGCCCTCAAAACGGAACCGCAAATATCAGTTTGAAGACCCTTAAGGACAAATGCGTAGCTTTATTGTACTGAACGCACCTGACCATTCAGCCAAGGGATGCTTTCTCCATTAAATATGAGGCACTGTCACATTAAACACATGATGTGACTCTCTTGACATGTTTCTACCAGCACACTATGGAAATGCAGCTGAAATGATGGGCTTGTCGTGCTTGTCAAGGGTACGGACTGCAGTTTACAACAGTCAGATAAAGAGTGCAGTTGTACATGGATTTGAACACCGGATTTGATGGAAGAAATATAAAAGTCAACCACAGCTTGAACACAGACTGTAACATTCTCATTTTTTCATCAGCCGTGTAGATAATGTAACATGTTTTGCGCCACATTATTAAAAAAACGGCCAGAGCCACAAGCTACATGTACTGGGTTCTTGCCTACTGAAACTATCCCTAGTGCGTGACAGGGGAGCAACGTCCATACAGGTTCAAAGTGGGGAGTTTCTGCTTACCACAGGTCCTTCATTAGCAGAATTGTAATTGGCAACCAGCCAAGCTGCAATGTCAACCATACCGAGCCTTGGCTGGTAACCAATCAATCTTCTTCTTTGGAGATATTCAAATGTACTTAATTCTTGGGTAAGGCATGCTGGGGGAGGATCTAAGGAGCAGGAGGGGCTGGGTTACTCATCGCCATCTTCCTCGCCGTCTTCTTCTCCTGTCCCTCCTTCCGCAGGGGCAGTTTCCGGCCGGCTCTCCTCCCCTTCACCCGCTTCATCTTGGGCAGCCGTCTGATGCACAAACAACACATTGAAAAATGTCCAAAATACAGAAAATAAGTCCATTGAGACACAGGAAGAAAGTACTTAGATAATTTGGCAGTGACATGATTGGAATGAACACTATTTCAACATCCAGTTAAGTGAGCAAACACCCAAGTCTTAAAAAACATCACGATGGATCACTCTGACAAGCTGACAAGTCACATTAGTTGAAAGTAGAAAACTTGGACAATGATGATCGAGTGTGAGAACTAATGAAATAATCCTTTCCACAGTGTACAGGGCATAACAAAGGTGATGCACATGTTGGTGAAATGAATAACAGCAAAGCCATTCATGTGCCATCACTGACCCTAACCTCTGGGGAATCTCCCGATAACTTCAGAATTGAACAGAAACAATCCACAGCTGAGTGTACAACCTAGTACATGTAAATCTCAACAGCTAGGCATCTAGCCTTTCACTCAATATTCAAATCAACAGAGACAAATGGAATTTTCACATTTGTTTGACTTCACTACATTTTGCACCGTCAGAATTATGGGTGTTGGATCGTGCTGAAAATATGTCAAGTGGCATATCATATAGTCATCACTGAATATGGGCCAGTATTATTAGGTTTATGTCTTTAAGCAAGGTAATTTCCTCCAACTGCTAACCTCTGAGTATTCTGGAACCATTCGCCTTACCTCAGCCTCGCCTTCCGGAGCTGGGGCGCCCTCGCCTATCGGGCCAGCAGCATCCTCCTTGAGCTGTTCGTTGAGGAGGGCCTGCGCGGCTGCTGCCACCCTCTCGGCGTCTCGTTGGGATTCCTCCAATTTGAAGTACTCGGCAGCACGAGCTTTGACCACGTCCCGGATGATTGCTATGAAAAAATGACCCAAAGAGGCCCGATTTACACCTTCGCATGATCCAATCACACCTTAACGTGGTTAAGTTCATTAATAATCCATCCATAGTCCTTTTCTAAGACCCTTTCAGTAATATTGTGTAGGTTTCAGAATAAACCTTAGAAACGAGACATTGAAGCATCCGCAGCATATTGAAATAATCTTCACCTACTGTAAGGAGTGACACAATTGAACCCCACTTTAACAAAATCAGTTATAAGTTGCCTGAGCTGCTTTTGAGTTACAGGCCTTTAAAAGAAACTAACGCAATGGACATCAATAGGAACTATCAAAAATTTTCAACCACATAATGCCAATTTTCGTCAGTTTTCCAAACATTTTGTAATACTTCAGAACAAAAAACAAAACAATTGCCAAATGGATGGCATTTTGACTCATTCTCTGGGATCTGCTCACAAATTTAGAGTACTTGATTTTGTATACATCGTATGTCGACAGCATCAACTGGTACAGTCTTCTTGCATTGCATCATGAAGAGTCTTGGACTTACCGTCCATCATCGTCCGGCCCAGGACCGACTTGCCGATGCACTTCTCCACCTCCTCCATCAGCCAGGGCAGGAAACCTGTCTCCACATCCCGCTCCACTGGGTCATAGAAGTAGCCGTTGTCACTCAGCGTGCCGAAGACCGAGGGCACCAGGTCGGCCAGGTAGCTCTGGGCAAAGGCCCGGGCACCGATCTTCTCTGTCGTCTCCTTCTCCTTCTTGAGAACCTCACGCTGCTGTTTCATTCTCCGCTCCTGGGGGATTTTGCAAAAGGAAACAAAATGAGGTTATCGTTGCAAAGTGTTTGACAACAAAGCCTTTCCACCGTCTTGTAATAGTGTTTAGCACTTATGCCACTGTTACAATCAAGTCCATACAAGACAGTTACAATTCATCCAATCTTGAGTCAAAACAAAAGTAATTCCAATGAATTGTGGCAAAATAAAACTATGTCTATGGAATGTCCAATACTCACAATAGATTAATTCTCACAAGACTCCATGATATTTCTGTGCTTTCCGTCATTTTTACAATTTTCTGAATCTACAAACTAGTCTCAGGATGTTGAGCCTGTGCCAAACCCTCAAGTGGCTGTGATATGTGTCATAGTCTCAGACTTTTTAAAAGGTGACAATGCAGTAAGAAACATAGCAGAATTTAACACGTGACCACCATGGGTCATCTGTTGTAAAGTCCAACTGAGAAAGTGGGTGTCATGTCTTGTCAATTGTTAGAAATTGATTTTCTTTGGCAAAACAATCCCGTGCCGAGGGCAAGTGCTATGTGGAATACCGCGAGCGAGTGGTAAAAAACCACTAGCCGAGTTGCCGGACAACGCTCAACAGCGCTCCACCCTGAGGAAGACCCTTCCTCACCTTCTCCTCTCGGTGCCGTCTCTCCTGCTCTTCCAGCCGCTGTGTCTCCACCAGCTCAGCATTGCGCAGCTCCTCAAACACCCGCTGCTGGGCCTGCAGGCTGGCCAGCTCCTCTTCCTCCATCACCTCAAGCAGGGCCTGCTCTACCGTCTTGCCCACCAGCACCTCCAAGATGGGCTTGACCTCAATGTCAAAGTCAAACAGCTGGTCGGGGGGAGGAAAATAGGGTGAGTGAGGGTGTCAAGACATAGCTGCTGGGAGGGTGGGATTAAAATGTTAGACTGGAAAGAGGTCAAAATGAGATCAAACTGCCAACTGGGATGCAAGCTTAGTAGGCAGATGCTGAGTCACAGTCACAACATCCACATCGCATTCAAGTTTTGTTTTGGGTTCTTTTTTTTTCATCTTATTTTTAAAGAGGTGAAGAACAAACCCAGTAATTTCAGTCATTTCTTCAAATACAGACATGGTGTGATTGAGAAGAGGAAGACAACATTTGTATCAGAAAACATGTAGCCAAATCATGAACTAGATCGTACGGTATTGGGAAAAAGTTTCAAATTTGGACATCACGTAACATTCTCTACACAAACGTTAAGAGACTTGTCTAAAATATCCTACGTGCTTTCTAACTAATGCCTCAATTTGGCCGAGCTGAATTTGTCTTTTTAGGGTGTGTTATCACTTTCTGATGGCTGAAAGGTCACTCCAGGGAAGAATTAGCAATATCCATGTACGACATTCTTCGTAGTGCAGAATCTACGGATTAAGATGAAAATGGGCCTGATATATCTCGAACCATCAACACTCACATCTCCCTCATAGATCTGTGTGGCCACGTCCATGCCAGTCTTAGCCGGCACAAACAGCGGCGTGGGGGGCCGGTCCAAGAAAGCATCTGTCTGGCACTCCACATCCGCCTCCTCCACCCGATCGCTCAGTTCCTCCAGGTACAGCTCTGTCTGGACATCGATATGCTTGCGTCCTTCCACGGGGTCTGGCGACCGGGGCCGGAGCTGGTCCTTGGCCCGCTTGGCAGCTATCTTACGCCGCCTGATCTCTTGCTGTCTCTGGACCTCAATTGGGTCTGGCTGAGCTGTCTGATAAAAAAACAAGGAATTGGAAAAAGGCACGATAGACCACGCATAAAACTTTTGTGCCAAAAGCATCAGAGCATCTAAGTGGAAGCTGTAAATTACTTATGATTCCTTTTGAAAGAAAAAAGTCAAATTAAGTATTCAATTTTACACCATCGAATAAAGATAATGTTGTGCTACTTATTGGGAGAAAATGGACCCAATGAAGTACACATTTAGCCCACTTTGAATCCAAAGTAAATTTCTACATTAACAAAAGCCTTTGAATCCCTGATTCATTGATGTGATATACAATGTACAATTTTTAAGGAATGGTGCAAGTTTGATGTATCGTTTTGGAGATCAATCTAAAATTTTTCATTTTAGTTTCTAATGACACAACCACTACAAAAGAACACCAGTAACATACTGCTGGGAGTGTGTGCTGTGCGTATGTGTTGCCACGAACAATCCGTCTGTCGTACATGATGTTCCCATAGGGTACAGCAGTTCTGCAAGCGAAAAGAGTTATCAAAATTACATAATTACTCAGGGATCATTAACACCAATGAGGCGGCAGGGACATCCAGGACTCTCGTCAAATGGGGGATAGCAACCACACCGCACCAATGAAAACAGCGACCATGGCAACGTATGTGAGCACCAGCCTGTCAGAGGATCGGGTTAAACAATCTTTTCTTTGATCGGTAGGAACTCGCACGCTCATTCAGTTGTTTTCATCGGCATGGTATGGTTGCTACCTGCCATTTTGCAAACGTCCTGGATGTCAGTGACGCCCTATACATTAAAAACATGGGAAATAACATTTCATGCAATAGGCCTAACTAATTCTGAATTATGCCTATGAGTATGACAAATGCATTTTGTTGTGAGCGAACCATAGGCCTAATATAATTTATATAATATTATAAAAAAGCCAATAATGAGTTTTTTAAAAGAACTTAAAAGTCACAGTTCACGGTCAATAAAAATTCACAATTTAAGGCCTAGGCCCTAACCTGAATGAATTAGAAAAAACTGCAAGTCACAATTTTACGGAAAGTAAATGTTTGAAATAAAAATCAAAACCATTGTCAATTGACATAATTGATAAATCACATTCAGATGAGCCAAAATTAGTGAAAATAAACACGGAAGTAATAAATTGAAAGTAGGCCTTATAAAGTTACTGAGATAAATAACAAAGGTAAAACCAAAATGTAGTCACTCACTGTTGATCTTGCATTGGATCTCTGTATTTCTTGCGCTGTGGCACGGCCCGCGGTTGACTAGCGAACGTGTACGTGCCACTTTTCTGAGGTAAAACTGTAGCCATTTTGTGTCGTTTCAGCTAGGCAGCTCGACGAAAGTTAATTTTTTAAGATCTCGATCTGTTTCCACAAACTAAACCGGAGTTACAATGAAAAAACAATTTCACAAATTCAGCAGATTTGGTGTTTATCTCGTGTGTGTTGGTTGCTCGTTCCGCTTCTCGTACTCCACTTGTCCGTCGATCATTCTGTAAATGGAGACCTTTCACACCAAAAATATTGGCGACCAGAAATACTCATTATTCATCCGCTAAGACGCAGTTTCAATATTTGTAAAACACAAATACTAACTAAGGAGTATGATAGCCAATATGTGAACAAACGCCAGTACATGGAAGAGAATTCGTCGCAGAGGTGAAAGAAAATACAGAAAAAAAATGTGACAGTTGGGACTTATTTTCTTAAATACTGTGGCGAACGGATACTACAAGAGTTGACATGCGCTGTAAATAATGGTGTCATGACAACAAGCCCGTCAGAAACATGTCCTGTCCCTTAATGACCGATGGGGGCGCTATGTATGCAGGTCAGACGCACAGGGGTCATTTCCACAAAGGTTGACGAACTATACACATGTGTACTGTACATATCCGGGATCGCGTAGTCAGACTGGGTTTCTGCATTCTGGTATAGCACTGGCACTGAGTTTGAGCATTAAGATTTCTTTGAAATGTCGTCAGTCATCCTAAGTGCTTTGTGCAGACCTGTTTCCACAGCCTTGTGCAGGTTTCCCTCCACAAATCGACTGCCAAAGTACAGACGGACTTTCGAAATTCTCTTTCGCCAGGTCATCAAGTCGGGTTCTTCGTCACCATGGTCACGGTTGAATGCGCAGACTTATACCTCCACCTGCATCTCAAAGTCTAGGACTTCGTTTCCCGGCTTTTCTGTTTGTAATCGTGTCAGCAGTCTGGGAGACAGCAGTTTACATACAGTACCTCCCAAGCACCCCACAATATGTAACGAAAGACTCATTTCAATGAGCGCACGACACCTTGCGAAAAAGGGAGAATTGTAAGTGCATCTACAAACTTTGCAACATTCATGACAGTAGCCAAGTGTATGTACATTCCTTCCTCCATGGCACAATACAGCTAGTAATCATAATAATTTCATGGTTTAGTCTGCATGTAATACTTAACAATTCTTACAGTGTGGCTGTGGTTGAATCAACCATCATCTGATCATTGTTACACCCCGACTATAGCATAAGCCCCAACTAAAGTTGGGACAACAGTCCCAACTGTAGTGCTGCAGTTGGGCTGGGCCAACTATTGTTGACTAATTTCTGTGGAATATGTCTCAACATTATCCAAGTCAATGTGTCTCACACTTGACACAATGTGGCACTTCGTCTGTTTACCCAGCCCTATGACCAATGACATGACATTTGTAAACAATATGACTTTGGCACATGCTGGGCACATCATGCACACAGGACCTCTCTGCTGTAGTTGGGCCGGCCCAACTGCAGCACTCTAGTTGGGACGGACCCAACTATAGTTGGGACTGATGCTATGGTTGGGGTGTAACAATATCAAAATGACAGCTTGATTATGTGATTGACAGTTCCTGGATCTTTAACCCAGCAACTATACATCATTGTATTCAAAATTTAACAGTTCCAATATCTGTTCACCCCATGCACAAACCCTATTAGACTGGTCTGGAAAGTTCTGAAAAAAATGTGAAGTGTTTTCTAAGTAACTGTTTCAATATTTTCACTGCTAAATTTGACTTGTTAGTACATATTATCACTTCCTGATTGCTATTATAATAAACTACTTCAGGGAAAAATTAGTGATGTCCCAGTACGGAACTCTTCCTGACAGATTTTTCACAGCAGCATGTGCACTTGTATTAGACCGTAACTGACGAAAAAGGTGAATTCGTAATCTTGTCCACTTTTTGTACCCTTGCAGGGTCACCATCCACTTCATCAACAGAGATGGGGAGAAGATTACCGTGAAAGGCAGAACCGGTCAGAATATACTGGACGTTGTGGTGGACAATGACCTGGACATTGACGGATATGGTAATGACCAGAGTAACCCAGGAGTGAGCAATTTAAAGCTAGAAATGTTTTGAAAGCTTTTGCTGGTATCCGAAGATAACAACCCTAACCAAATGTACTCGGTTGAACCTTAAATCTCCTGGACTTTTTGTAAGGAGGCTTTCTGAGCCCTCTGAGATCCACCACAGTGTAGAAAACCATTGGCACAGCCTTTCCACTTTGTTATAATTAGCCATGGTGGTATTCCAACAGCAGATGCCCAGTACGAGACTATTCAGGAACAGCTACACGCGTGCCCAATAGCAGCGCTGGACGGTGCAACCAAAACAGCGCGCCCAATAGCAGCACTGTATGGTGCGACCAAAACAGTCGCATTCGCGCCTAAAAAATGACGGTATGCGACCAAATGTTTAATAGGTGGTTACAAGCGGGTTCTTGCGCATGTTCATTTGCTTTTGTTCCCAATCCATTAAGAATCAGCTAAAATTTGGAACTGAATTTTGCATGGCTTGGTATAAAAGTAACAGTGGGAACAGTGTTGGCTGTTGGGCAGAGGATGTCTGGACCAACATTGCTGATGTATGTCCACAGTTTGTTCGTAGAGATGGAAAACTGCCAGAAGTCACTATATTGATATCCAATGGTAAGACCAAGTGGGATGCTTTTGTCAGGTAGAGGATATATTGTTAGGGATGCAAGTCTCAAACCAGGTAAACTTTGGTCGAGGTTAGGCATGTTCTTCCAAATAATCTTTGGCTTTGTCTGAAAGTCCAAACTGGGGCCGGAAATTACATGGGCCTATGGAAGCCAGCCACTGACTTACGGCTGCGGCTACCACTGTTTGAAAATGTGTATTAATCCGAGCCGTAGCTATTGGATTTAGCCATTGGAAGCTTATGAAGGGAAAGCCGTTATGACTGTGAAAAAAAAAATTTTAACCTGCAACAGGTGCGTGTGAAGGGACCCTTTCCTGCTCAACATGCCACCTGATCTTCGCTGACGATCTCTTCCAGCATTTGCCAAAGCCGTCGGATGAGGAACTTGACATGTTGGATCTGGCGTACGGGCAGACCGATACGTAAGTAATCACACAGCTTTTAGGATGAGCTCTGAATGGACTTGAAATTAATACCTAACAGAGAAAGACCTTTTTTCCAAAGAAGTTTCAGATGGAGCAAAGTTTAGAAGTATGTTTACCTGAATTAATATAGTCTTATTTTGCAGTCCTGAAGAACATTTTGTTTTCTCCAGCCCCCAAACTCTGCAGTGTTTGCCTCATGTTGATGGAATTTATTTGGATAAGGCCTGAGAGTTAGACTTTTCCTTTGACCTTTGCAGTGACCTTTGCATACACACAGGTCCCGCCTTGGCTGCCAAGTCATCCTGACCAAGGAGATGGACGGGATGACTGTTGTCGTTCCAGAAGGGGTAGCAGACGCCAGGGATGTTTGAAGCCGGCTAGGTGGACCATTGTGCCAAACTCTAGGGGGCTCTGTGACGATTACAATCATCTCATAACAGATGCATTGTTTTGTACGCTTCCTCCAGTAACTCATTTCTTTGCCCCCTCGGAATCTTACCTGTGCAAGCTCTGCAGCCACTTCGGAGATACTTTATGAGTTCAAGGAGACACAGTTGTTATAATGGTGATGGCGTGGGCACAATGTCTTGGAAGACTGCATAACAGATTTATATGCTAAGCAAAAATAGGCTGGAAACCAGTCACAAAGATAATGAAATGTGTGGCATTTTAGCAGGCAACCTACTTTTGTTAAGCAGATTATTTTCCATGTTGAGCAGATTCTGGAAAAAAAAAATTTCCATAGTGTCAGCAGAATCTCTCTCAAAAAGATCAGTTTTAATTCCAAGTGTGATTATCTTCACATAAGTATGTATTCAGGATGCTGTAAGAGGAATGATTTCAGAGAATTAGATTAGCGGGATATATATTTTTGTTTTTGGAAAGTTGTGATTTTTAAAAATTCACCATCTTTGGCTTTTAATCATATACAGTGTAATGAGTTTCTACTTGCTCACATGGACCCTATGTTTCAACAATTTATTATAGAGTCTTGTTTAATGTAATGTTACTTGACTTCTTCTCTCAAGGGGAAATGTAAAATAATAGCATTTTTGGTGTTCTTTTCTATTAGGGTATGTAGTAGTACAAGATATATTTTGGGTGGAATAAATGACGATAGCAAATTTTAGTAAAGAATCTGAAATGTTCTCAGAAGTGCTTTTAGTTCACAGAAACCCTAAAGGTGATTTGTACTGGCCTGACTATAACACGGGTCTGAGGGGTTAGTTAAGTAATGGGGCCACATGCATACCCCCCCCCAAACTACTAATTTGCTGGAGAAAAAACCTCAAAACAAACCCTTTCTGCTGACTGCTGTTAAGTGCTGATGGGTGCTTTAACCTCCCCCCAGAAATAACCTCCGCAAAGAAATGCTTACCCGTGCACAGATCCATACCCAGCCAAGATTCGATAGAAGCAAACAGGATCTAACATGAATTACATGTGAGTTGGGAGGATTGCATTCGTTTTGTGCGTGCGTTCGTACCGGAAGTGACAGGATGTAGGTGTACATTTCTGTGAGGAGAGTACATGTATTCCAAACTTTTCTGTTGTACACTTCAGAGCCAATATTTGCATAACTGCATCAAAGACATGATTGAGGAGGTTTTAATTCCCCCCCCAAAAAAAAGGGAGAGAAAAGTCTTAGGGCTTGACATCTGTGAGAACAGTTGATTACTGCAAGTAAAATGTTCCTTTTCCTGAAATTCCTCATAGCAATCATTGATTATTGTCTTTATCTCGGATTAGCATTCTAGCGACTTTTTTAATTTTCCGAAACTGGGTTAAAATAATATTCAAGGCAAAAGGCACCTACCCCTTTGAGGATGACTGCAGTTTTTAAAGCTGAAAAAGGGGCCAAAGGAAACTTACTGTACATCGAGGTAAAGTCTGGCTTCAGTTTAGAGTATGTAGTTTAACACATTTTGCGTGGAAATGGAGTTGCTTCCTTTGCATGGTTTGAAGAGTTATTGCTGAAGGCTAATTCTGTCGTTCTATTGTAAACGGCCAGCCATAGGAATTAGGAGACGTACCCTTGGGAAAACTTTAGAAGCGGTCACCCCCACCCCCAAGGCACCTCAACAGAGAGCCTCTAAATTATACTTGTACTCAACTAAAATGTAACTCACGGTCTATTCAAAATTGTTTTAGGGACTTACTGAAGAATTTCATTTCATTAATTTTTTGCAGGAAATAAAAAGATTACAATGAATGCTCATTGATGAGGAGACATAAATGATTGAGGACACGAACTTGAAAGGATAGGGCAGTTACACAATCTCGTGCCCTTGCAGGCTTGCTAAAGAATTGCCGAATGGGTGTACTATTACCGCTCTAGTTCAGATACTTTCAGTCGTTTCTAAAAACATTTATTAGTACCAAGTTGTTATCAGAGAGGAAAACACCTAGCCACTCCTCTGTTACCGTCTTATATTTTAATCTAATTTTTTCTTGAGCTTTTCTGTTTACCCGAAAAATGTAGTATTAGGCTCAGATCTATTAATTAAAAACAAAGAAATAGAAAAGAATAATAAAACTAGCACAATGAAGCACGAGACTGGGGGAAAATCGATTTATTGAGCAGGTTAACTAACAGAACTTTGATTATGATGCAAAATACCATCTTTTGATTTACTGCTAGGGACTATCTTCACGTGCTGACACTGGCACAATGCATGCATGGTGGCCTTGCCTGTTCATAGTTACTTAGTTAATTTCAACAGAGGGCGCTGTAAAACAATTACGGACAGAGCTAGCTACCGCCTTAGCAAGGGTTGACAGTGGCCGCACTGCGCGGCTAGCCGCTTAGTGCCAACCACGGAGAAAAATGTTGTAGTTATCCAGTAATTTCATGTTTAATTAAGCTGTTCGAGGGCATGTAAAGAGTGCGTGCTATTCATTTCATTCGAAAAACCTAATCACCTAAACATACTAATTTTAATTGCATCATAGGGCAAGGACTTGCTCGGCCCTTGGAGCCTCCTTCATTGGAGAATGGAGGTAGAATCCATGATTGGAGGTAGGACTTCTGGGTAAACCATGGCCTTAATTCAGTTAAAATTTATTTCATGGCAGTTTGAACCCACTGCATTATTATTCAACGTAAAAGATAACATGTTTCCCATTCATCTAAAACAACATATTTATTTGAATTTTTTTACTGTCTGTGCATGCGGCCGCGAGCGCTACGTGCACTGCCATGCCGACCGCTCACGTTAACTGGTGTCATGATGATGCATTTTTTAAAATATCAAGAACCGGGTACCAGGCATTTTCTGAGAGGGGGTCTGGTAATTGGATTCATGGGGTCCCGGCTATTGCTGCCTGTACCCAATGTACGTTGATTGACAAGTGACGTCACCGTTACGCCCGTTCATCGTGGACGGCCATATTTGAATCTGACACGGTGGTCCTGTGTGGATTTGGGGTAAAAAAACGTGACCGGTAAGTACGATTTCGTTTCTTTGTGAGCCTGTGAGTTAAGTGTCCCAATCAGCATGAGTTTGGCTACCAGTGATTTCTGTTTGAACGAATGACATGTTTCGTACAGTTCAAAAATGCCCGAGAAATGGGTGACTTGCGAGAGTTCTGCCCGTTATCATGTGGTTGCATGCACGGAAAGCAGTGTGTGATGTGAGCACCGTATCACCAGTCATGTGCACAGTGCCGTGGTCAGTGATGACACACTGCCCGGGCACGCTAATTCGCCCGCTGGAGCTGGAATGGGCGTTCTCGATAGGAACGCCCGCAGTGTGAATTCGTGATACTTGCATATTAGTCATCACCTGTTGGCCTTTTCTTAGGGAGTTTAAATTAAAACACCCCCACCTGTGATTGTCACACCGGAAGTCTTGTCCTTGATCCTGTTCATAGCATTTGTTGCATGATGACTTTAGGTCAGTACCACTACACTAGACAACCGTTGATCATGTTGATAACAGCCTGACAGGTCGTTGAAGATTGAATGTAACTTTTAGCCAGAACTTCGGGAGCAAACTAGCCACACTTGGTCAGTTGGTCACGTGAAGTGGACATTAATTTAATGTACTGTTTGAAGTGCAGGTTTTACTTTTGCGCTGTGGTAGTAACGTTAATTTAAGTACGGTTTATTTTCATCATTTTCATTTTGTATTACTTAGGGCCAAGTCCGTTCGATTTGTTCTATTAACCCTAACAGTCCTCAGTCCTCCAACAGGTGAAGGATTGAGGAGTGTAAGGGTGAATGGTCTCCATTGCTAATGTTTAATTCTTTACTGTTTGACATTTCTTTGACACTGTTTAATTGACGCACATGTTATGGAGTTGGACAGGTGCCAAGTCTATATTTCCTGCACTGCATCTTAAAATAAAACTTGAATAGGTTATGTCACAGTTTCAAGAGTTCCAGACTTTGGGACTAAGTTTAATCTTATTCAATTCACCAGATTATTTTTGTTTAAACTGCAGGTGTTGGATTCAAGAATAAAGACCGTTTATAAAGGAGTGGTGCAACTGCTTAAGGAGTTATAAACTGCCCCGTTGTGTCAGGCAGTGTTTATTCCTCATCCAGTTAGACAACAAGCGCTGTCAACATGCCGAAAACAGTGAGTGGCCTGAAATTTAGTCGTTTATTGATAATACTAGCATTCCAAATCGCAACCTCCACCCATGTAGCAATTGAAACCTGAAAGATTTCTACAATGGCGCATCAATGCCCTTAACCCTAACCTCTTTGGCCCTTTTTTGCTAGGGACCTTCCTCAATCCTCTAGAACTTTCCAATTGGGGTTGGAAAAAATTGGATTCTTCCTCAATCCTCCAAAATTTCATGAAAATGTTACTTGGATGTGTGCCTACTGCCTCAATCCTTTAAAATCCTCCGGCAATTCCTGTCATTATGTTGAGGCTGTGCAAACGGCTTTCTTGAGCAGTGCGGTTGATTCAAAAGAAATATCGGGCTGAATTTATGCATGACTGGGCAAGAACAACACAAGGTCTAACCCACGACCTTCACTCATGGTATCCTTCGCAATCAGCCATACACTTTTGCCATTCACCCTCAATCCTCCAAAATCTTCCAAAACCGTCTGAAGGATTTTGGGGGATTGAGGAGGGTTAGGGTTAATTCCTGTCTGCTTTATACTTTGTTTTGCCTAATTACTGAAATCCAAAGATACTCTGAAACTGGTTGAGAGGAAGAGTTCCATATACAGACATCGCTCATTCACCCTGCAGACAGTTGTACATGTATATCAGCCATCAGAAAGTGATGACATGTCTAAGGAGGCAAATTTAGCAGGGAAAATACCTGAAGCATACATGTATAAAGGTTTTTCACATGACGTCACTTGACGGACAAAGGCAGTTCAGGAAGCATTGCAAGTCCACAGCAGCGTGTACATTTTCAAATCTACATCTTTCAGTTGGCAATTTCATGTACGCCAGAATACTGAGATATCTCAGAGGTTCGGACCGTGCGGGCATTTCCATGCACATCGGTATATATTGAACGCTGACCATCAAAACTCAAGTGGCTGAAAAACCTCTATACTTTAAAAGTACACGTACTTAGAATTTTTCGGACCAGGGGCATAGGGTTTATGCATAGGGTGTCAAGTGATGCCCACATATGGAACTCTTACCCTATTGAGCAGATTGCCAGCCTTTGATGACTCACAGGTACAACTTTTAAATTCCACAGGGTTCAACTGCCAGACTTTTTATGATTTTATTGGCCTTTGTGGGGAACTCTAATGCTTTGTTCTTTTCAGAAAGTATGTTCTGATATTTAAAATCGCAAATTGCAAGATTTTGCACTTCATTTTTGTAGAGTGGTGTCCAAGTAACCCCACTTGCCATTTGGGAGTACTAAACTCTGCTCCACATTAAGGCATTCAAACGATTTTTCAGACCAAATCTTGCCAAAGAGGTCTTGTGTTGATATTCATCCAAGGCTGCTAAAGTGGTGGAGTTATTCAGAGTAATGCCCATTTCGTTCTGAGTGGAGGGATGCAATTATGATTTAAGTATGGGCTCAAGGCTTCAAAATCCGTGGTCCCCTTTGTGAGCAGTGAACACTTGTTAGACCTGTTCTTCAGAACACCAGTGCAAATATACAAAGAAACATGAACAGTTTGCAGTTGAATGAGTGATTCACATTTTGTGGTCGACTTTTCACTCAAATGGCATGTACATGTATGGTCAGTATGGACGTTTTATCAGAGAAACTCCTCGAGCCCAACCGTCATAGCGATACTTAGTAACCACATTATATGGTAACGTGCCCTGGCAGGCTACACTTAGAATTATGTTAAGTATTAAAAAGCACAAGCTAATTTTTGGTGTTAGGAAAGATGAGTGTGTGGACGAACAGATGATACAGATAGGCCATGGATAGCTTTCTGCAACTGCAAAGCCTTCAGAATTTTAAAAAAAAATGGTCGTTAATTTTATTAGTGCCTGTTCTTGCAGTAAAATTTGGCCCACAATTACAGGTGTGATTAAAAGTATACTTCATTGGTTCATTCAGATGAGTCATTTATGTTGAATTAATGGGCGGTGCTGCACAGATACCACTAGTGGGACATAGTTTGTTTAGTTAATGCTAACAGGAAGGAATGTTTACTTAACCCGGAAAGCGAGGGTAGTCCTTTTTTCTTCTTCAGTTTTTGTACCATGGATGCACAGGACTTTTATGTGCTCTTGATGTGTGAACAGTTGTCAGGGAGTCTTGATAAGCACTGTGCTGACCGCTTGAGTGCACTGCACTGTGAATCTCACTCTGTCCTGCAGTTATGATTTATCAGAAGAGACATCTGGCAGTGCTGATCAGTTGGCAGTGATGTGCAGACTGTATTATGGGGGAAACTGCTATGTGCTGTTGCAGTTTATAGGGGGCCATTCATTTTCATTCCACTCTGCTACAATAAATCAGGCTGCACGATCAATCAAGCAGTTTTCGTCTTGGCCATTGGTCAAGTACTTTTCTCAGGAAAGCATCTATAAGTTCTCATACATGTAGCTCTGTGAGACCAGGAGAAATCAAACATGAATTGAGCAAATGAAATATGCATTGCAGTGCATGGTGGTTGTCTACAGGACAGTTAAAAAACCTCTTGTGTAACTTCTGCTTAGCATAGTGAGGGGCGGATCCAGGAATATTTCCGGGGGAGGGGTCAGGCCCCTAAGGTTCTTTTACATCTGATTCTTGCAGACAGGAGGACACGTAGGAAATGTACATTGTATTACGTTGTTACTAAATGTACCGGTACAAGCAAAAAGGATACCATATTTTATTAGTTTTTGTTGTTATTACTTCATTTATTTATATTTTTTGTGACAGAGCAGGGGGTTAAATCCAACACTCCCTATCTGGATCTACTCTTGGTAATAATGCTTACAAATTTCATGGTAATACTGCTGGAGACAGTAGTGGATTGCATGTACATGTACCACTCCCAGGCTGTCACAACCAGTCACGTTTATATGTACATGTATGCCTTTACTTTGTGTTTATTTTTATGTGCCCGAAGGGAAAATCAGTGTCACAACCTGCATTACTTAACTTCATTTTTTTGTTTTATGATTGAGTTGTGACAGCGAGTCCCCTTTAATTAAGCATGGGGGAATCATTCAACGCCACCTTCCATGAGTTGACATTTTGTAGGGGGTATGACTCCCAGAGCGCAAACACACATTGGGGAAACATGAATGCATGTGGGTGTTTGACATTTCCCTGTCTGTATCACAAATAACCATGCTGCTGACTTTATTTGGGACGCCAGGGCTGTCAACACCGGCTGCATTGCTCAGAAGACTTTTAAGTTAAAGGAACGATCTGCGGTCTTGGCCAAAACATTTGGAGGTTTGAAGGGAAGACTCCATGGAATTTTTTGAATGAGACAAAAGATTTTCAAACATTTATAACTGTGGTAAACTCATGGTGAGCATAATGCAAAACCATGCAAATAGTATTTTCAAACAAAGGGTACATTGTCATGTTCAAGAAATAAAAGTAAAAGTTTGTAGGACCTACCATGGAGGTAGAGGGACCTACATTGTACATGTACTATACATACATGTACATGTATGGAGTTTTCACATCCGTGTGCACTGGCAAGCCTGTTTTACTCATTTGATTATTGCATGAGGGAAAAAATCAGAAATGAAGGAAATAGTCCAATTTCTGCAGTCCTGAGTGGGGCTGAAGCATGGTGATCAAAGATTTGTCCGTGATTGATGAACTCGTCTTGAACTTTTCTTTTGTGGGGTTTTTGTGGTAGGGTTTTAAAGTGAACAAAGTTCATGCCATAGTTATGTGTGCTTGCAAGAGTATCACACCGGGGCGTTTGAGTTTGGGAGGGAAGGGGAAATGGGGAATTGGGAATGGGTCAGGAAAACACTCCTACACATGTAGTAGAGTTTGTAGTCCATGGAAGCAGGGACAGAGGTTGCACATGGACATGTGCTGACTGAATGGAAGATTGGAGGCTGAACTTTACCTACATGTACATGCACCTAAATATTTGCACAGTCACATCTGGTGTGGTTCGTAATGACTACGCAACAAGCCAAACGTCTTTAGAAGAAGTACATGTATAAGACTCCATTCTGATGTAGAGAGCCTAGTGTGTGATGTCTTCTGTGTGCAGGTGGCAACAGTTTTCTCTGTTGGTTTCAACACTTACCAGTCTGTGCATTGTTGTCACCAGTATGAAGGACTCAACCATGTTTATTTCATTCAGCCAGCATTTGGTAACAAGATCCGCTGGCTACATACTTCACCCAAATTTGTTTTAGTGGTGCATAGGGAGAGAACCAGAAACAGCATGCACATGTTTAAATATATCCCTGGACTGCAAGAGAATAGATTTCTAATCCGGCGCCAAGATCCTGTAAATGATACTGTGGACTCGATCAGTGCATGACCAGGTCATTGCTGTCGGATAGGGTTGAATGCAAACCTAATGTCAATTTAATTAGTAAGCTTAATCGGTGTAAACTACGGTACGTGTCAAGGGAGAAATATACCCGAAACTTGTGGTTATTATTATAGGTTTTTCTGAATTTGAGGCAGAAGTGAACTCTTTTCTTTCCTGTCTGATAGAGTACTGATGCAGAGAGTCAAGGGTCGGTAGGTCGGAACATTTTTTTTGTTCGGGGGGCAGTTTTGTGCTGATTGAATGGCACCAGTAGTGGCGACAGCCTCCAAAATAATCTCAAAAAGTGATGAACACCTGTCTAAATCTGTGTAAAAATTTCTACATATGGCACTAAACCTTGTGCAGTGAGCAGAACAACCTCAAATTACACCCATGAACACAGAAAATACATACATAAATAAGAGACCAAGTTTTGTGAATTAATTTGCAGAAATCTCTTGCAAGTAAAGTGCAGCATAACATCCGTGTCTTTTCAGCCTGCAGTGTTTTGCATACGGCTGATGAAAAGTGTTTATGTACATTACATTCAGTACATGTACATGTATGGTACAGACTGGTTCTGGTTGCTACATTTCCATTACACATTCTTTTGTATGGGTGCGGCACGATGGGAACCAGAGCAGCTTCGTTTAATGCAATGAGTTTCGTGCAGTGTTTTCACCA